AGGGGATTCAGGTCCCCACTCCTGTCATCTGGTCCCATCCTGCCCCTTTGGATGTTCAGGCTTTGCGATACTTCGCAAGCTCAGAGAGCAACAGGGAAGCAAAGGCATGTTTTCCATCACTACATATGGGCAGCTGGATTATCCTGTTTGTGACACAGGAAGAAACACATTGTTGGCCAACCTGGATTGTCACAGAAAAGCCCCATCAATGACCTATCATCTATTAAAAACATGAACATTAATGAACATTTTCTCCAGGATCAAGCTGTGAAGGGGTGAAATGATAAATCCCTGCACCTACAACTCAGCTGAAACACCTTAAACATCATATAGTGATGTGCGATTGAGGAGGGGATGAAGCTGGTGGGGAAGGGAGAGGGAAGGCAGAGGGGACAGCAGGACATCAGGAAGCAGCACTTGTCATCACCATGTAGCCAGAGGTGGAATAAATATGGGAAGTGGTTTGTAAACCAGGCAGGGATGAGAAATAGCACCCAGAAATGTTAATGCAGAATAGGGTTGGTGCTCCAAGGAAGTCAGCAGAGCTCTGTTGGAGGAGAGGCTTCAGAATACAACCCCACTGCAGACAGTTTTCCCCAGAACTGGTGGGGATGTTATTGGAATATCCATTAGAAGAGAAAAACGTGATTAAAAATTATTAAAATTAAATTAAGATTAAAGAATAAAGATTAAAAGTAAGAATTGTAGGTAGGAGCTTACAGGGTAATTAAGAGAAAAGAGTTGAAGCTATGATTAGGGCTCACCATTTAAAAGGAAATTACACCCTCGGGCCTGCTGTCTTCTCCAAGATCATTTTCTCTGCATAGCCTTCACCTTCATTAATACATTAATTAGCCTCCTCCTATATTAATACATTCATTAGACTACACCTTCATTAATATCAGATCAGTGCTTTGCACTTCCACAGTCACTGTCAAGCGCCCTGACAGTGCTCAACCCAAGAGCTTATCACCTCCTTACAATGATTTATAGACCCTTAACTGCTCTCATTGAACCTTTCAGGTGGTTTGGGGCCACAGCAAGTTGGGAAAGGGTGTGTGATTAAGTGACCCATCCACATCCCCTCCCTCCAGCTCTTCATAGAGTAGCTAGGGTTGGAAAGGACCTTAAGATCATCCAGTTCCAACATGGGGCTCGTCTTCTGCTCCCTGACCCAGCACAACGTGGACACAAGGTCCCATGAGGGGCAGCAGCATCCTGCATGCAGAGCACTTGTAGATAGAGGAAATGAAAGCAAACTCTCTGCTTTATCTACCTGACTTCATGTCCATCTTCACCCTTGTAAGTGCTTGGCTCTCGGGATGGTCTGAGGTGAGCACTCATCTAAAGGGAGTGAGGTTTGACAGCTCAGTTGTCCCTATGGCAGGCAGGGAAGTGGTGGCTTTAAGCAACACAAACCTGATCATGGTTGGAAGGGTGCTTCTTACGGAGAAAACAAGCTCGAGGAGGTGGTTATTCGTCTTTAGCATTTATTTATCATTGGAAAAAAAAAGACCCTTTGAGCAAGCAAAGATCACAAGCACATCACAATCCATTGGCTATACATTAATCCGTGTGTGTGTGAGTGTGTCCGTGTGTGTCACTCCCATCACGACAGCAAGAATGGAAAGAAAAGAGCACCACGAGGGAGGTGTGTGTGCTTAGCATGTTACAAGAGACACGTCGGTGATACGCAACCAAACCCAGGCCACAAAAGATTAATTAGACACTTCTTATCTGCCTCCAAGAGGCAAGAGGTTGTGGAATTGATGGGAGCCATACGCAGTGGCTGCGTTGCGAATGAAGAAGCAGGTGATCGGTGTGCGAAGCAGTCAGGAAACAGGAGCATCAGTCAGCAAATAGCACCATTTTGCAGAAAGGAGAAACAGTGAAATACAGTGAAAATGCAAAAGCAAGCAGTAGACAGCACAGGAACGGTCACAGGGTAAAAAGCAAACCATTTCTTCTGGTCTTTTTACAGGGAAAGCAAAACGTATTACACATCAGCAGTGAAACAGAATCAGCATCGTGGTAGCTGAACACAGAACAGCAGAGCACTCTGTCCCGGTGGGATCGACAAGCTCAGAGTCCAGAGTGAACTTGAAACAGCAGGGATTTGGTCTCCTTTCTGATAAACCTGAGTGGATGGGTATAAAGTCTGTGGAAGGTAAGAGCAATGCAGGATTTCACCCTGAGGCTTGGCTCTGCTGCAGTTCCCGGCATTCGATGCAACGCTAAACTGTGCTTGGATGTGTGCTGAGCACTTGGTGCACATGGAGCAAAGGCCAGGATTTATATCCCTATGTTGTTGCTGTCTAAGAGGGTCCTACCAGTCTCCCAGGCTCTTTCTGCAAAGATTGAAAGCTTCCAAGGACCATTCATCCCACCCAAAGAGAGGTGTCCAAAATAGGTAGCTCAATGGCCCTTGGAAGTTCCTTCATTAGAGATGGAATTTGGACCACTTCATACCTAGCTTTGTAGTGAGATGCCACCAAAACCTTCATGTAAAAAGGAAACATAAGGCCATATTCTGATCACTTTTCATGTTTCATTCCAACACAGTGATGGATGCTCTTCATTGTGAAGAAGCAATCCTGAAGCCCTGGATGAGGAGCAGTTGATCCAGAGGCATAGAGATGCCTGGATTAGGTGGTCTGTCTGAGCATCTTAATCATAGAATCACCATCATTGAATGGTTTGTGTTGGAAGGGACCTTAAAGCTCCTCCAGTTCCAAACCCCTGCCACGGGCACGGACACCTTCCACTAGAGCAGGTTGCTCCAAGCCCCATCCAACCTTGAACAATTCATGATGTTCCTCGGGCAAAATATGGTTATCCTTGAAGCCAAGGGCTAAATTCCCATTGACTTTAAGGTGAAGTGGTGGCAAGTGTGGTGTCTCTTTCAGTGTGAAACTTAGGGCCAAAAAACCCAATAGGGAGCACTATTTGGCATAGTCATTCCTTACGTGCAGTGAGATCAGTGTGTTGGGCTATTGGTGACTGTCTACATGCCTTCCTGACATGTTCTGCCTGCTGTGACACGTCATCTTCACGCTGTTTCTATATCCAGTGACATGAAAGGACATTACTGAGGAGGGTGAAGACGCATGAAGCATCTAAATGCCAAGGAATCACACCAAATCTTGGAAGCTCAGGCTTCCCTGGCCACTTGTCCCTTGTGCGATGGGGTGGGAAGAGCACCCAGCTCAACCACAAGCCTTTCATCGAGCTGCTCTGGAGGCAGAGCTTTGCTGCAGGGGCTTCTGAGCACTCAGAAAAGCAATGGTCAATATGGACAGGTCAGCGTCTCCATGGAGCATGCACATCCAAGAGAAAATGCACTACATTGGCAAAGAGTTCCACAGTTTTACTTCCTGGAGGATTTCCCTGGTTTCCTCCTAAACATCGGAGGTTTTAAATATATATATTTCTAGATATGAATATATATTTTTCCACATACACAACCTGACTAGCTCATAGCACACAGTTCTAACACAGCTAAGCTTGGAAATACACCACGGAATTCAGAACACTACACTTACTTTATACTCAAAGGTTTAGGCCGTTAGCGCAAGGCAAACAGGACACATCACACAACACACTGAACTTGGCATTTATTCATTACTAAGGCCAGCAAATGTCACTATCTGTGTACCACAGAGCTTTCCTCCTCTTTGGAAACTTCCTCACAGCCTTGTAGCCCACTACTCCTTTCTGTTTCCAAAAGAACCAATTCTAAAGGGGTGAGACACCAAAAATGTGACTCCTCACCCCCATGGCCCGTCACTTCTGTCTGTTAGATAGCTTCACATCTCTACAACACCTTAGCAGAAAGACTTCCCTCATTCAAACTCCTCTACAACAACTCAGTTCCGATACTTGACTCCTTCACCACCATCTTCCTACCCTAATTCCCACCTCTCTCTTCCTTCTTCCCAATTGTCTGTTCTCTGAAAGCTTCAAGCTGGACTCTATGTTAGAAATATTGAGCTGCATAAATGAAGAACCCTTCATCTTCACTTGCAGCTACTCCACCAAAGGAGACTCCACCACCTCATTTTGGTGGGATCAAGATTGAACCATAGGTATTTAGGATCCAATCCAGAAGTCAGGCACATAAATATGGATTGGGACCGTACCTCTTCCAGCTCCCATTGACTCAACAACCCAGACTCTGGGGATGCAATGCCAGCCTGTTGGCCCAGTTCATACTCATTGACAAAGGGTCCTGCTGTGTTGACAGCTTCCAAACTGGTCTTGCTGGGCATGGGGATTTCCTAAAGGAAGAGTGCAGTAAATAGGACTGAAACCCTGAGATCTTGCCTGCTGGAGTCTAGGGATCTCAGCAACTGGCTTATGGCCCTCTTAGGATGCTCACAAGCCAACATGAACTCCACAGAGTCAACACAACAGGGGCTGACAGCTCTTAGCCAACCTTATTGACTCATTTCTTCCTACCCTTTGGAAGGCCACCTCTGCAAACTAAACCTCTTTCTGAAACCTAGCTCTGTCTACTGGCACCCCAGAAGTGAAGAAAGCAGACCAAGATTCAAACCAAACCAGGAATAACTAAAAAGATCCATAACCTCGGGGAAGCAATAGGGAAGAACAGCCTGCTGATAACCTAGCCTGACCTGCCACATGCTTGGGAAGTCTTCACTGCTCTCTGTGCCTTTCCTCAACTCCCTTTTAGTTTAAATCAAGGACTTCAAGAGGTGTTGATGGGTGAAGCTGCCTTGATGCAGCTAGACCTACCCACAGCTAGTCGGGAGGCGGGGATTGACCCTTTATCTGCACTGGATCTCCTTTCCTGTTGCTTCTCGGAGCAAAAGTCCCACCAGTGTCACCAGGGGAAGTCGCTCTTGGCCACAGCACTGATTCTAGTGGAGTTACAGCAGATCCACAGCACCATGGATGAACCTCCGATCCTCTCTCTGCCTCCAATTCTTTCACCTGCTGACACCAGTGGGAGATGACCGAATAAAGGCCAACCCCAAAAGGATCTCATGGGATGAGAGCACAGCCTCTCCATGGCTCAACGGGCACTTTCACACCACCAAAGCATTGAAGGACCAAGCCAAGGTTGGACACAATCATGGCTGATCCATCACCTTCATCTCCTACAACCCCGCTCGTGCATTCCCACGTCCCTCACTCTGTGCAGAGCCGTGTTGTGCAGGCAAAGCAGAACAACCTGACCTCAGAAACAAGGATTCCCTAATCCTCCTTGGAAATAAAACAGAACAGCTTCTAATACAATCAGAACAAAAAGCAGATTAGAAGCCTCTAATTAATTTTGTGGCCTTTATTTAATCAAAGAAAGGAAAAAAAAGAAGGGGGAAAGAAAGAAAAGGAAAGGAAACCAAAATGAGAAAGAAAGGAAAGTGCAGTGACATTTACTCTTTTGCCTCAGCCAGTTTATTGTTCATCTCTTTACTTTTCTCCTTGTCCTCTGGCTTTGCTGTGTTGGAGGTCTCGGCGCTCTTTTTCTTGGCAGCCCGGCCAGATGCAATCTGCTTGTCTTTGGCCTTTTTCAGGGGTTTATGGCTTGTTGTGGTCTTTTTTGGTTTGGAAGGCTTTACGCTAGGCTTTTCCACCTGCATGGAGGGCGACACGCGAAACAACACCACAGAGATGGAGACAGGGAGAAAGAGAGACACAAGGACAGGTGGAAAACAGGATTTAGACCAGAAGTAGCATGAATATCACTTATTTCCTCAACTATGCCTTGCTGCAAAGGCAGGGGAGCAGCTGGGGGCATGCTGAGTAGCAAATGGCCAGCTCCTTTCCTGGCATGGATGCCCTGAAGGCACAATGCCCCTGAAGCCAGCAGAGCGCATTGCATCCAGATCAGGACACAGCAGGAGAGGGAATATTGTCAGTCATTTCGTCCATTCATAGAATCATAGAATGGTTTGGGCTGCAAAGGACCTTAAGATCATCCAGTTCCAACCCCCTGCCCCGGGCAGGGACACCTTCCACTAGAGCAGGTTGCTCCAAGCCCCTGTGTCCAACCTGGCCTTGAACACTGCCAGGGATGGGGCAGCCACAGCTTCTCTGGGCACCCTGTGCCAGCGCCTCAGCACCCTCACAGGGAAGAACTTCTGCCTTAGATCCAACCTGAACTCCCCCTGTTTCAGTTTGAACCCATCACCCCTTGTCCTGTCACTACAATGCCTCTCTCTGACTTTGCAAGCCCAAGGGGACTGTCTCTGTCTGGATTCAAAGCAGAGAAACGATGCTCAGGACAAAGAGGCTGCTACAACTCCCCACTTCTCCTTCAGGACTTGATTCCTCGTGTTTGTCCCTTAATAGATGACTATAATACAGTAAAATTACCTGGAGGTAGCCTGGATGCAGGACACTGAATGGCACCTGAGCGAAGTCCACAGCAGTGTCCAGCATCCACATGCTTCTACAGCCTCCAAAGTAAGGAGGAGCTTCAAAATGAAGGAGGAACAGAAGCCTTCAGTTCCTCCATGCTGACTCTGGCACCCCTCTGAGACCTCACAAATCTGAACACTTAGAAACTCCGGGAAGGACTAATGATCCTAGGTTTAAACCTGCACAGACTGACTCCTTTTATATGCAGATCCTCCACTGCTCCTAGGAAACAAGGCTGGAAGACATTTCAGCCCAGGCCCTTCTGACACATGTCATTGATCTGATCAAAGCCAAAAGCATTTACTGTCGAAATCTGTGCAGTGCTTTGAATTAATTCCAGATGAAGATCTGGCTCTTAGCATGTTGTTCCTGGGATAAAGTGCAATGTGGGTGCCCACGGTCTTGGAGGGAGAAAGAGAAAGCTGTCTAGAGAAGTGACAATGCAAAAACCTACCCTCACTTCTTTACAGTTTGACACAGTGCACTATTATCTCCAACGTGCATTAACCTGTACTAGAGCCCAGCCTGGTTTGGGTTGAAGGGACCTTAAAGCTCCTCCAGCTCCAACCCCTGTCCCGGGCAGGGACACCTTCCACTAGAGCAGGTTGCTCCAAGCCCCTGTGTCCAACCTGGCCTTGAACACTGCCAGGGATGGGGCAGCCACAGCTTCTCTGGGCACCCTGTGCCAGCGCCTCAGCACCCTCACAGGGAAGAGCTTCTGCCTCAGAGCTCATCTCAATCTCCCCTCTGGCAGGTTCAAGCCATTCCCCTTGGCCTGTCCCTACATCCCTTGCCCAAAGCCCCTCTCCAGGTCTCCTGGAGCCCCTTTAGGCACTGGAGCTGCTCTAAGATCTCCCCAGAGCACAGCAGAGGGGCAGGATCCCCTCCCTGAGCTGCTTCTCACGCCCTGGGGGTGCACCCAGCACACGGGGGGGTTCCAGGCTCCCTGTGCCCATTACTGGCTCATATTCAATTTTCCATCCACCACCATCTCCACGGTGGATCCCCAGATGCACCCACCGGTTGGAAATGCAGATGCCACATAAGGGGAGTGACAATAGGCAGCATCACCCCAGCTTTACTCTGTTGGACAGTGATGCAGTGATGGCTCTGGGTCCCATCCACCATGTCTCTTACCTTTGGAGGTTCTTTATAGGGCTCACTGTAGAGAGTGCGTATCCTTCGGCGTTCCAGGTATTTGTTATCAGCTGGAGCAGGTTTACTGGTTTCCCCCTTGAACTGAGCGCTGTAACTGGTTTCATGGGTCATTTTCTCCTCTGGTGGCTTGTACTGGGGCTTTGCTTTTATAGCTTTCACAGGCTTGACGTCTACCCAGGGTCTGAACTCGTTTCTGAGGATCAGAAAAGAAAGGGGTTCAGGAGTTAAGCCAACAGGAGAGTAGTGGGAATGTGGGAATGGCATCCTGCATTGCTCAACGAGGAAGAGCTTTTGCCTCCATCCACTCAGGTTTAAAGAAACTGGCTCCCAACAGCTTGCTTTTTACTTCATCCCAAACCCATTGACACATTAGAAGTTCAAATGGAATTGGGACTATTAAATCAGCCATTGCTGGGCACCAGACAACCTGCTAGTCGTGTGAGAATGGCCAAGTGCCCTCTACAAATCTAGGCTCAGGTGCAACTGAGATGCTCTTTTAAAAACATGATGTTTTTTTGTCTCTACAGCTTCAACTCCAAACTACCTACAAACAGTTCCCGACTCTTACAATGAGGATGGAAAAGAACATTTAGAAAGGGAACATCAACATTCATCTTCTGCAACTCCACAGAGGACACAATTCTCAACAAACTTCCCTGCAGGCAGGAGAAATGGGTGTTTCAGACATGGAAGGAGCCAAGATTCCCTTACTCATGCTTTTAAGTAGTGAAGGGTCATTTTGTCTAGATTATGCACATTCTGGTTCCCATCCACAAAGCCCTTCTCTTGCATTCTGTAGTTCTTCCCAATAAATAGCAACTTCTTAATAGTTCTGGAGCAAACCATTCCATTTTGTCTCTAAAAATTGCCAAAATGGGGATGGAGAAACCCCAAGTGTGTTGCTACCTTAAACAGGTTGTGCTCAGACATGTTCCCAGGCAGTGTTTAGATCCTTACAGACTCCAATGCAAGCCAGTAGCTATCCTAATGGTGGTGATAAAACCCTTCCTCAAAAGGGGTGAATTCTCATTGAGAATCAAAGCACTTGTCTTAATTTTGGGACCTCTGAGGCAATGGGACCTTGAAGTTTCAGACCCTGTCCCTCCTGCCCCATTCCACCAACCCCTTTGGGTTGTGCTGCTCATGTTCAGCCTGGTTTATGCGGGAAATGACCTCTGTGTGAGGGTACTCTCAGTCAATCCCTTCCCATAATAGCTTTGAACATCTTAATCAACTTCAACCAAACTGCACAAATGCTCATGGAGATATTCAGCTTTCACTTTTAAGAAGATAAACGGTTGGACTAAGTCCAAGGGCTCAGGAAAGCTCCACATGGACACCCCCCCTTCATTCGTCATCAGAGCACCCGCTTAGACAGGGAGGCTGCAGAAGTCCTCAAGGACCAGTAATAACTGATCCCTTCATGTGCAGGACCAGGGCAGCTCCCAGCCTACCCAGGACCACATTTCCCATTCACACAGATGTTAAAGACCTTTCTCTTCCAAGATAACTGCTGGTTGCAATGGTCTCCTGGGTGTGTTTCTCCTCCTGCGTTAAGGACTCACCACATCTGCAGCTATCTGTGTCCTTGTGGTTGCCAGTGGGGCTTGGAGAGCCCTTCCCTATGGCAGTTTTAGGATGAGCTGAATGTCTCTTTAGGCTCTGTTATCTGACCAGATGTTCACTGGTGAGAATACAAACATCTAGCACATGTGAAGACACACGTACACCCCTAAATGTAGGTATCCCAGTCTATGAGCCAAATCCCATGCCCAAGTCTCCATTCTTCCTTAGTATTGTCTCTACCTACATCCACTTCTTATTTTCCCTGTATTTCTTAATTTCTCTCCCCTTCTTTTGCTATTCAGCCTTTCTTGGGCTTGGATAACACTGCCAATCCGCAGGGATACTGCCTGTTCGAAGGATGCTATCCTTTATCCTTCGTGAAACTGTTGTACTGAACGAGCAATGAATGGGCTCATCTGTGTCCCCTTCTTTCCTGCTCAGTGAATGTCTCCCACTTGTCTCTACAGTCTATTGTTAAGACATCCCTCTTGCATGAAGAGATGAGAGGAAGGAAGAGGAAACATCTTTAAAGAACTGAATGAAAGATATGAACACCTCATTCCAAGCCCCTCAGAAGATGAGAGGCTTCTTCCTAGACTCCACATCCACAAAACAGACTATGTATTTCCAGCTGCTTTCCAAAAGACAGTAAAATCATGCACTAATTCTCTTTGCCCATGTTTACCTGTCACTCAGATTCCTTCCTAGCAACTTCTGAACCCGTTAGCTATTCTCTATTCTATTTGTGGCAGAGGTAGAGATCTCAAAGGTGAGAATCACAACCTTTCCTCAAAATCAGTGAGTGGGCACAGTAGGAACATCCAAATGGTGTTTTTTAGCTGAGGAAAAGACAAGTAAAATTCCTTTTCTCACTCATTCTAAGGCCAGCTGGACAACCAGCCCACATGGAGCACCAGGTCAACCAGCACACCTAAGAGCTCGCACCTACAGAACCAGAAACAAAGGATGGAAGATGTCGTACTGTGCAGAGAGGGCTGGACTTTAAAGATGGAACCCAAACCAGGGTTTCTTCATTCTGCTGCTCATAAAATGCTGGTTTATATGGAGTTGAGCTTTGAAGCAGCGTGTTACCCTAGTGCCTGGCAACATCACCATGGGCTGAATTATGCAAAGATGAAGAAAGAGACAGGCTGCTCCCTGAAAAGCCTGTGATCTCCACAGAAAAAGGTGGGGAAAAGGGTCAGGAAAGCTTTGTGCTACCTGTGGGCTCGCAGGGAATGCAGTTCTGCTCCCCATGGGCTGGTTGCTGAAATGCTAAAGGAAGAGGTTATGCAACAGAGGTGGGCTATTAATGCAACAACTGGTCTCATCTGACTTAAAAATGAATACAAACTCCCTGGTTTTCTCCATCCTTGCTTTGGTGGTCTTAATGCAGACACAAGAATAGTGTGAGTACTCAGATCCACTGTACTTGGCAACAGGACCCTGGGCTATTTTGTGTCTCTCAAGATGAGCCTGGCTTTGCAGGCAAAGCGTAGACTAACAACCATTCATAGGTGGACTCATGCTGCTGTGGCTGCCCCATCCCTGGCAGTGTTCAAGGCCAGGTTGGACACAGGGGCTTGGAGCAACCTGCTCCAGTGGAAGGTGTCCCTGCCCGGGGCAGGGGGTTGGGACTGGCTGGGCCTTAAGGTCCCTTCAACCCAAACCAGTCTGGGGTTCTATTCGAAACCCTTTTCAGGCACATGTGTGTTTCACAGAGCATGGTGAAGATGATCCAGTTCCAACCCCTTGCCATGGGCTATCTGCTATCCAGAGCAGCAGGAGGAGGAGGGAAACTCAAACCATTTACTACAGCTACGTCTGGTGCAGACGCTGATCTTTGTGCCTGCTTTTGATAGTCAGTCAACACATAAACTGCAGAAGTGTTACTAGAATAGACACAGCCTGTTCTGTGCTGGTTGTGTCTGTGCCCAGAAACTCAACACACCCTGGTTAAATAGTACAAATGTACTAATTCCTAAACCCCTCATCCCCACCACAGATGAGTGAGGGAAAACAGCCCATTGGGAACTGCTCTTGGAATGCGCCAGCTCCTGAACCCAGCCCAATTGCTTGGAAAAGTACTAGTTACCCTGAGGCATAACGTAGGCAGGAGTGTGCCAGCACCTTCACAGCCTGGATGCCCACATCTGAGCGTCAGGCACACTGAGTTTAGTAATGCAAAGTGGGAATGAGGAGACAGGTGCCCTGCTTAAGGTCTGCATCAATATTGATTGTAGGGATGAGGGGGAAGCCTTAGGAATGCAGCTTAAATCCCCCTTCCAGGTCTGGGGAATGTCCAATGAATATCTATCTCCTGCTTTGGAGAAAGCCCCTGCAAGTTCTGAGACCTCCCTCACCTTAAGGCTGAGAGAGATGGGCTTGTTCAGCCTGGAGAAGACTCTGGAGAGAACTTAATGCAGCGTTTCAGTACTTCAAAGGGGCCTATAGGAAAGATGGGGACAGACTTTTTAGCAGGGCCTGTTTTGATAGGACAAGGGGTGATGGTTTTAAACTAAAAGAGGGGAGATTCGGGCTGGATGTGAGGAAGAAATTCTTTACAATGAGGGTGGTAAAACACTGGCACCTGATGCCCAGAGAGGTGGTGGATGCCCCATCCCTGAGACACTCAAGGCCAGGCTGGATGAGGTTCTGGCCAACCTGATCTAACTGAAGGTGACCCTGCTCATTGCAGGGGGTTGGACTAGATGAGCTTAGAAGGCCCCTTCCAACCCAAACCTTTCTATGTTTCCATGATTACCCTTCAACATCCCAAGGCCAATTTGCAGGGAAGGTGCCCACAAGTTACAAATTCTGGCTGCAGTCTGAAATAAGCCCTGAAAATCCTACTTTTCCCCTGTTTTGAGAACAACTGCTCATATAGCAGTGTCTGGAGCACTAAAATTAGCTCTGAATGTATTTCAGGAGCTCACTAGACCCCATCCTAAAAGAGTTCAGCCTTAAAGCTTACCTAAAACCTAAGCAAAAGCTTTTGCCCACATTGCAAACATGAGTCACGAGCACGGACTAGCACCACTATGGATGCACCCAACAGGCAGAGCTTAGTCCAGCTCTTTAATTCTTTATCTAAGGGATTTTCATTGCTCTTTGTTTTGCTGAGGAAGATGCTAAGAATTGCTATCTTGGCATGAAACAGAAGGACTTGAACTGAAATAGCAGCAAATCTCCTCATTTTCTGCCTACCTCTGCTCCCAGCCTTATGAAGAATAATTAGAATCCACTGTGAACCCAGTGCTGACCTGAAATGGAAATGACCTGAAAGGAAACTCAGCAAGAAGGAGGATATGAGGCATGAGATGACCTTTTGTAAGCCCAACAGGGAGAATTCCCAGTGAAGATAAAGGGAGTTTGGCCACCTACAAACCTCCACAGGGCTGCAGAGGATGGGGCAGATATGTTTAATGAATAGGTAGAAGATCATCTTATAATCATCTCTTCATCAGGGACTGGAGTGACAGGACAAGGGGTGATGGGTTTAAACTGAAACAGGGGAAGTTCAGGTTAGATCTAAGGCAGAAGCTCTTCCCTGTGAGGGTGCTGAGGCGCTGGCACAGGGTGCCCAGAGAAGCTGTGGCTGCCCCATCCCTGGCAGTGTGCAAGGCC